CCCCACCAGAATGGTCAGGTCCTTTGTTGGGCACTTCTCGACGATTGACTGCAGCCTACTGTAGAATTGATCTTTAACGTCTTCGTTGTGGTCGTTGGTAGGTGCACAGAATTGGATGACGTTCATTAAAATGCCCTCTTTCTTTGTTCTGAAGGAGGCTTTGATGATCCTTGGTCCATGGAATTCCCATCCTATAAGTGCATTTTGTGCTTGTATGGATAGCATTGGTACAACTCTCTGTATGCGTGGAGCATACCGTAGTATATCAGCAACTCTCCTGAAGCTAATCTTTGTTGTCCAACCTGCGTCCAATGTGTCTCACTGATTCCAAGCATCCACAGGTTACCTTTTCACCGCTGCTGCGACTTGGATGACTCTCTCTGTCTCCAACATTGTACGGACATTCCATGTACCTAGATAAATGGTTGTTCTGGTTGTCAGAAAGAGCATCGGCATCATGACTTACGAAGAATTTCGGCCTTCATCATGAGGCTTCATAATTCTTCTTTCGATTCCCAGGGCAAAGTTAAAATGGTTTGAATTGTATTTCTCGGTTAGCGTTTTTTAGAGAGTTAGTTTTCTACGTGATTGGGTCGCTAGCCCCATGCCCAACCCTCCTCTATTGGGTGTGCTTGGGACCGACAGTAGCACCCGGAGGGCCTACAGGCGGAGTTTCCACTAAACATAAAGATGTGAAATTACTATTCCGTGAAAGTGATGCCCTTGATGTTATTTTAACTAAAGTTGAACAACTTAAGGTGGAAACAGTAGTTTTGATAGATAAGAAACAGTCAAAACTATAAGTTTGAATTATTGAAGAGAAACACCACTGCCCTTTTATGTAGGGCTTGTGAAGAAATTACCACTTCCACTAGGCTTAATGCAGATGAAAGTCTGGGTTGCCCACACTTTACGATGCAGTTGATTTCAATACCTGAAAGTGTGGAGTGGGAATTAATTTATCAATGGGTGGTGGTACTGTTCTTCATTGAGTAAGTGTTTTAGTATTGCTTGTGTCCTAAGATGTAAAGGCTTCTTTTAAATTTATGCAGGTTTGCATTTTTAGTTACAGTAACATTGGAGCCCCAGTCTTTTTCAATTAGTATCTGTCACATTAACAGGTTTATAAATAACGTTTGTAGAAGACTGTTTTTCGCTTGTTTTATCCCCACGCCTGGAGAAATTTTTTGTGTTGTTCCCTCTGCAAGCTTACTTGACAATTTTAATAGCGTCAATAAAACGTTTTTGTAGTGAACTCACATACTTCTCCCCAGTTGGGAATAGAATGCAATTTGACCGTTGCAACTAGTGGTATCACAATTTCTGCAACGGACTAACAACGGCTCTACATAAAAAGTGTTACAAGCCACTTTCACATTGGCTGTGAAAATCATGTTGCTCTACAAAGTCTCTGTTGACTATTGGAACGAACATAGCCTGAAAGATGCCCTCAGACAAACAGCAAGTAACTGATCAGCAGCTTTCAGTTTCCGAGTAGGTGGCGAGCGTCATCATGAGTCCAGCTTTAGATTTGAATGAAACCATCAAGGTAGACCCCTCATAACGTAGCGGACAACAAACATACAGATGTAGACATGGCTACATGAAACAATAAAAAGCGCGCTGAGAAGAAGCAGGTTATAAGGAGCTCCAAGATATGTGAGTCAAAGTTTTCAGGTCCGGATACATAACAATGCAAAACAGACTATGGAGGAACAAAGCCTAAGGGGTTTAGACTGATTGAGTAAGGGACAAAATGGGCTATGATTGCCTTACAGGGACACCCAGAAAACTAAGTAAACGGAGTGAATCATGCACTTCTGACGCCAAATCGGACTACGGGGATGAGAAGGGTTTAGGAAACAAAACCTCATGACTTGTTGAAACGGATATCGCTCAAGGGTCAGTCACTTTGCATAAAAGAGTCTTCCACAAAGGAACCGAAGGGAAGATTTGAAAGCGACTCAAGTTCTAATAAATCTTTTATAATCAAGCTACTTTCGAAAACAGCAACGGCAGTTCTCGTTCATAAGCTTTATGGAATAGGATAGGAAGTAGATTCCGAAAGTACTCAAGAGAACCACTTAGCAGTTACTTTTGCTTCCGTTGAAGAAAGCGAATTCAGTCAGACTAACTAGATCTGGAATATATGTCGTGCGGATCTCAGCCTGGTTGGCCCCAACAAGAGACAGTAAGCAGAGGTGAAAATAGATGATAGCTGCAAGAACGGTTAAAAATACCTTATACTTAAGAGTTTACGCATTGTAAAATTTTGGAGAATACTATCATCAAACCTCTCTGGTTGGTACAGGAAAGTTCTTCACAAGATTAAAGGTACACCCCACGAATGCTCGCAACCACCAAAGAAAATGATGGAGCTCAGGAACGTAGTGGGCAAAGAAACTTTTGATGCCATTGCCTCCTCTGCTACATGTTTAACGTCAGAAGTGTATGATAGTAAAATTCCATCGCTTGTTTTTTAATTTGTTCGTCTGCCAGACTTGACCGTATGAATGGTGGGCTTGTCTTGTACGCAAAAAGTATCTTAACCCTACGTTGTGTCGAGAAAGAGACACACGACTCAGGGACATATGAACTGGTGTACTGCCGGCTGAAATATAAAGGGCAACACAATAAATTAGTTGTAGTGCACCGCAGTCCAGAATGCATAGCGTATATCTCCATCCTAAATAAATACAAACCTTTGTCACCAGGTGTAAAAGAATTATGGTAGGTGATTTTCATACACCCTTTGTAATTCTGGAAAACTCTGAAGTAGGGTCGTCAACAACATCTGATTATAAATTGTTAGAAACATCAATCCCCTCAGCTTTATATCTACACATTAGAGATCCCACCAGAAATGAAATACAATATTCGTCCCGTTCAAACTTATGCTCCACTCACGGTGATGATGTCAGTCAAATAACTTTCTTCCCACGTTGATAGAAAAGTGATCATGTGCTCATCTTATTAAAGTTCATAGCTGAGATACCTCATCAGATAGTTGCTTTAGCCCCTCCTAACCTGTTGAAGGCAAACATAAAGGCGATCAACTCTTCAGTGTCGTCTGAAAACTGGATAATTGAATCAGGGGGATCAGTAGAAGAAGCATGGACTCATCTCCGCCAGTTATACACTTAAGTAACTCAACTATTTACACCCTGAAGAGAAGAAGCGCAGTCATCCTCACATAAACGGGGATACTCGACGTTTCCTAAGAAAAAAAAGAAATGTCGGAAAACCACCATCGGCATTGGCACAGCAAGCATGATCGAATGCTACAGAACGGCACTAAATAAGTGCATAACTACAGTCACGGAAGCTCAAAGAAAATATGAAAAGCAGTTGTCTCAATCCCTAGTCAAGCAGTCTCATAGACTATCCTCGTATAATAATTACAAAACAAGGACGCAGCATTGAATTATTAACATACTCAAGGAAGAGAGTGGATTTCAAATCATAGAGGGCAATAAGGACAAAACAGAGTCTATGGCAAACTATTTCGGGACAATTTGCACCAAGGAGCCTCTTCTAGACCTAAGTGCAGAGTCAAAAAGTCGTCTGTTCACTGTGAACATTGATCGACACTATATAATTAATGCCCTTGGCACATTAGACACGGAAAAATCAACTGGCATGGACTAACTACATCTTAAAATCTTGAGACAATCTGCATTGTATTGCTGCTCTATTAACAACGGTATACAAAACGTAAGTTGGCCAGGGTGAGTTACCTACAGACTGGAAGGATAAGGTACCGAATAATAGACTCTTTTTGATGTTAGAAATCTATGAATTGTAGGACCTATCCGAAGGTGGATCAAGGATCTCTTGGTAGGTCGTAGACAGAAAGTCAGAATAAATTCCAAATGCTCTCTCTGGAAATCAGTAATTGTTGGATTACCACAGGGCTCTCTCATAAGTCCTTTACATTTTATTCTGTATGTGAACGAACCCCCAAGTATAGTAGAGTTATCGGTGTTAATACACGCTGATCATGTCAAAATGTGACAAGAAATAACGAGAGACGCCGATACATGTGCACTTCAGGCGGACTTCAACGTTCTGATTAGCCGGTCTGAAAAATGGATGGCACCTATCAACACAGTCAAGTGTGTCTTTATGCAAACTATAGATGGGATCTCTAATAGACACAGTGTAAGGGAAGAGTCAGTGCACATAGTCCGGTCTCACAAGAATTTCGGAGTGACAGTGAGCCATGATTATAAGACCACGGCTCACTACCACGGGGTCGCAATTAAAATGTTCAGAACTCGACGAGCTTTAATTCGGACGTTTATCAAGTTATATACTAGTATGTTCATCATGGTATATACAACACTAGTGAGAACTCAACTTGAAAACTGAGTTCAGTCTGCAGGCACCTGTATAAAAGGTGACTCAGATATCCTGCAAAAGATACAGAGGGTAGCTACCAGTGCGATTCCAGAACTCTAAGATTCACCATACAAAGATCGGCTTGAAAAGATGAACCTGTAGACACTATCCTACCGCAGATTAGGAGGTGGCCTGTTTATGCTGTATAGAATACTAAGAAATTATTTTACACCTGACATGTCCTTTATTTTTCTTTCCATTAGATCGAGACAATCCATAGAACATAGAGGGTGAGTAGAAAATCGATGAACGAACAAAATACTCGCGACGTACGGGTTTTCACATCGATTCATAAATTCTTGGAACTTGTCACTCGAAGCGGTGGTGTCCTAACCTCCAATTGACTCTTTCAAGAGAAGACTATACACTCTCAGAAGCCTACTAGAAAAGGACTTACATAGGCCATAGGCCTTTTGTTTTTTTCACAAATCTGAAAAAAATATTTTTTCTCATCGAGTAGTAAGTGACTGAAAAACCTTACAAGAACAAGTGGTATCAACCACATCAGTGAAATTTTTTAAAAACTAAAACTACTTTGTAAAACAAGCTGCGAGGATTAATACAGGTCCACTGACCAATTATCCCTATTACTGAAGAGTGAATTTGATGACCGAACTTTCTGACTTGTGCGTTACGGTTATGGAAACTGTCGTAGCCTCAGTTTATAATTCCTGGCGCGATGTTGCATTTGGTGACTTACAAGTACTTCGCGACATTTGTATTAATTAGACTTTAGAAAACTTTGGAATCAGTTGCATGTGAGCTGACTTCTAATCATGAGAAAAACGATATTTCACGGACTAATTTAGTAAACCAGACTAAAGAGTTTCGAAAATCTGCTTCCGAGGTAAGAAAAATATCATGCTGACTTCAGGTTTAGGATGTACGTAAATATTGTTCAACAGTTATCAAGTGTTATCAATCGGAATTTGATGCACTTCAAAAGAGGTGTAGATATGCCGAAGAAGCTTATCTTTCAATGTACAAACAACTTATTGAGCTTCCAGGTTCAAAGCTTCACTTAAATAATATGCTTTATAGATCCCTCGTTTGCACTTGGCGAACTTCATTCCTTACAAAAACGAGCTGACAAAGCTGTAGAATTTGAGTTCGAATCACGGAAATTCAAGGAAAGCTGTGACGAATTAAAAACAAAAGTTCAGGAGCTCAAAAATTACGGTATTTCTTAAATTAAGAGCTTATTTTAGAACGCGAAAATAAACGACTGAAGAAACGTCTTGACGAGTTGACGGTTTCTTTGGAAACTCAAATTCAGCTGAACAGTTCGAAGATAGTGGACGAATATCAAAGGAAGTTGGAGTCCAAAGAGCAAGAGCTTGCCATCTTTAAAGCTGAGGCAGAGGAGAAGCTTGGTAGCTTTGAATCTAAAAATATAGCCATTTCCAAAGGTATGTTGATGTTGACATTGGATATTATCGATCTAATTAGCTTGATACTTGTGAGATAACTCAGTTTGAACGCAGTTATCACAAAGCTGCTATTGTTCACGCTTTACCCCATACTTTAACATCCGTAATTTTGCAAGTCGCATCAATAATTTGGACAGACAGAATTACATTAACTGTGTAGATAGTCTTTGCCTGACTTCTGTTAGTCGTTTCAAAGCTTATGGTGAATAGTAATCGGTATGGGTAGCCTCCTACGATACTCTTGCGCTACGCCCACCTTCCTCATTTTTAGCTAGGTTTGTCAAAGATATAATCTATAAGGTTACATTTCAGTATATGCATATTCCACTCGCTTAAAAATAGCTGTGCAACTGTACAGTACTTAAATTGCATTCACTAGCTGCTAAGCTATTAGAAACAATTTCTCATAGACTCAGACACTGTCCACAAATTATGATGAGCTATTTCGGCACAAATCTCGCTTGTTAAAATATTATTCTTTAAATTTTAGCACTGGAAATGGCACAATCTGAATTATTTAGGCTTAAAACAGAAGTGAACGCTACTGAAACTGGCAGGTTAATTTAATACTTTATGTTCAAACACTAATTTTTTTATAGGTCTTCCGAACTTGACTTACTTATGGATGATCTTGAAAAATCGAATGCAGTAAGTATTAGTCTTTATCTTGTATTCAAATTATCTTTTATTAACATTCATATTAGTTTTCAGTGGGAATTTTTGATATTACGAAACAACTATCTCGAAGTAAATAGCTTCGCTTCCAAATAATCTTATTTGTAAGTTTTGGCATTTTTAGTTGTGAAGCTAGCGTAGCGAATCATGGGAAACTTTTAGGCGCAATCAACCACAGTTTACTTTTTACCAGTAACTCCAGTCATCGATCGATTTATTTTTGTGGCAAATAATCTAGATTTATGCTCATATAAGATTCAAGAACTGCTCCTGTTTCACTGAAATCATTTTTACGTATTCTGCTATGCGTCTTTTTTATGTATTCCTGGTTAGGTATTTTAGTATAGGCAATGCAAATAAATATTTTCATTATTCCGCAAGCATAACCTCAGAAAGGATTTACCTAATGAATGTAAAAAAGGCTCGTACAGAAATTTTTCGCTAGGTGAAGGTCCTAGTAATTTGAAAATTTGTTGGAATTATGTGAGATAAGTATTTTTGTTCTCATATGCTTCCGCCACTAGATGTAACTAAAATTATGGTTAATACAGTGAATTGCATCAATTTACTACCTAAGTCTTTCAAAAGAACTTGAATTTCTTTTGTGTGTGACTACCTATCATTATCATCACACCCTTTTAGATTTTCTTCGTCTACCAATCATCAGTTATAGAAGAATGTATACACTGTGTATAATGAATTGTTTGATATACTGATCTCACTTTTCCTAGTCTGGTGGCTGATTGTCAACACTTTACCTAGTTATTCCGACAAATTATGCACTAAAATGTATAGACTCTGATACCTCTTCATTTTTATTGAAATGATTTTAAATTATATTAATGTTTTGTATATGGTGTAGAATTTGTAAGTATATATGTAATTCGATCTTATCCAGTAGTCCAAAAATTTAAATGTTCCGGAAGTTTGAGTGTTTACTGAGTTATATTTTGTTTAGAATTTAGTAATCAATATTCTGCATTTTTCATTTTCGCAACCCTTCAGAAACTTGTTTCTGCTGAAGCAGAGTTGGCTAAATTACGTGAGGATCATGCGGATATTCCCAAGTCACCCATCGCAGATATTATCCGACTTCAATGTCGCATTGAAGAGCTTGAATTTGAACTGTCCAGTTGTTCTCAGCAAGTAAGTCCAACAAGGCTTGTTTTCAGATTTAAGAAGATTAGATATTAATATATATATATATATATATATATATATATATATATATGGGGTGTATTATTTTGAAGGTCAGCATTTTCTAAACTCTCCTGTTATGGGAAGGCAGCATCCTTGTAAGTGTTAGCTGTTTGAGGAAAACACGTCACTTCCGTCACACTTCAGTACAACCAGCAGTGTGACTTCGAATTCAAAACCCAAGTTTCTGCATATAGTTTAACTATTTTCTAACCGACCTGCTCTGAATGATAGTACATACAGAAATGAGTGTTCAACTCAATATCGCTCGACTGTTTTATCGTGATAAGCAATCCTGACCATCACATCATGGTCGAGGTAGTTGTACTAGAATTCTGCGTAAATATTTTTACATAGTGAACATTCAAGTTAAGTAAGAATACTGTCAATGATTAAATCAGTACCATTGCTTTCTATGTGACACGATAACTTATCGTCTAAAATGTGAGTTTCTAGGAGTTTAGGGCGGCATGAACGAGGGATTTAGATTCTTTCATAACAAAGGCCGGTTAGTATACACTGATTCATGTCTTAGTAATTTCTTGACTTAAATCTAGTGTTTTCACTTTTAAACACACAGCTCTCGTTTCAAATGACTTCTCTTACTGTCCCAACAACTACACTTTTCCTTTTCCTTAGTTATTTGAAAGGATTTCGGAAATCCTTTTCTACTTTTGAGCTTTTTGGGTAAACGCCGTATGGTGTATTAGAATGGTTGCCAACATTTTTTTTTCATTTCCGGTTCTAGAAGTCGTCATTACTCGATCAGTTGGAATCACTCAAATCTTCAAAGTCATCCAACGAAAAGAACCTAGAAAATTGTATTCAAGAGCTGCAAACAACAATTTGTCAGACTAAAGCTTCTCTAGAAGCAGCTAATATTAAACTTGACAGTCAATCTGATTATGAAGAAATAAAACGCGAACTATCTCTTTTACGCTCAATTGAATTTCCTGAAAATGTCCAGCTAAATGGATCGGATAATTTTATTCAGGACGAAACATCCAATCGTGCTCCATTGGAAGTACTTCTTTTAAAAAAGAATAAATCATTGGAGAATCAGTTGGCAGAAGTAAACATTTTAAGTGAAAAGTTACAAAGTAGGTATTATAAAAAAGTTAGATTTAATTTTGTAGCGTTTATTTCATAAGTTAATCTATGTAAATCATGTACAAACTATAGATTTGCACTTTCAGCCTTAAAACACTTCATATGTATGAAGTACCACTGCTACTACTACTGGACTGTTCAGATCGAAACAAGACGGTTGTACAACTTTTGATCAATGGTTAAGATTCGTTAAATTCAAACTTTAAGCCACCGTTTTACGATACGTATTTCGTATTTCATTTTAGTACAGTGTATTAATATAAGCAGGTCTCAATGATCCTTGGAATCCAATTCCGTAATGCTTACATTTCTTTGAAAGTTATATGAAATTCCTCCACAAATAATCTATATTCTATACTTCATAAATTTAACTGGACTTCTCTTCGGAATTCCAGCTTACCTGACAAATGACTTCTATTGAGATTTTATCCTTTGATTGGAATTTTTAATATTTCGGCAGATCGTCCTGATAAAGTGCGATTAAAATTGTGGCGGACTAGAAACGCAAATACTTAATAAATAGAAACGCTATGCAAAAAGAGTGTGTAAAATAAGTTACTGAGGTACGAAAACTATAGGCATGTATATAAGTTATACTAGAGTTATTTCTAAGTTGCAAATATTTGTGTGGTCAACTGTTCCTAAAATAAGTTCACAATTATAGTAAATAATCGGTTACTCCAAAAAGCATAGTATAATCCAAGATAATGCTGCATAGTTGGTCAGGTAATGTCGAAAGTTACAATCCATAAATATATACTAAATGTATATTAGAGACTTGTTAATGAGGCCGAAAAGTGAGTAAGAATGAGAAGTGATGTATGAAGCGGTTTAATTTTTTGTTTGGTGATCAGTGTAACACCTAAATAGTGTCCAAGGAAATCCAAGGTCGGTTTAAACAACAATCTACTGTCCAAAACAATGTACAGGAGACGTTGAATCTAGGCTTCGTGTTAGTTGGGACTCGCCATTATGGTGTACTTGCAATCTGGGAGCATTTGATGCCTCAGTGAGATTCGAACCCGCGTCATCCAACTTCACAGTCCCAGGTGTCATCACTTAGCAATTTGTATTGTGAATAATTTCCTACAGCATTAAAATAAAGTCGATTGCAAAGTTTTAGAGTAACGAGTGTCAAGTAGTACCAAAATAAAGTCTAGGAATTCCTGCCGACTACATCAAACCACTCAATATCATTTTCTAGCTTTGTACCATAAAGCAACGATGTTCATTGGCCAAGACTTAATAATGTCATTATTGTTACCGGTGTAACTTAGCTGTGAGATTAGGTACGAGCCTTTGGTGGTTGCCAATTATGGAATGGTTGGGATTTTTCTAACCCTAAGGCAAACGAATGGGAAACCGAATAGACTGTACGTCTGTCACACAACAACGCTTCAATGTCAATATCCACACTCTAATAGAGCTGTGGAAGACGTAGCTTTCAACATAACTTTATTTTCAGAGCAGAAGTCAGAAATTGAAATAGGAAAATTCCGACATACATTGGCTTTGGGGGCACATAAAGATGTAAAATTAAATCGATAATTGCAAAGATCATTACGGAAATATGGATTAGGAAAACGTCATCAAGTTTATTTTTTGAAGAAATACCTATTATGCGCTAGCAAACACTAGATAGCTTAATCTCTGTCTAGTAGCCACTGTTTAAACTTGAACTGCTCATTTAACTTTCTTAACTAAAACTTATGCTGTTACCGTATACTGATATATGTTTCTGTTTGATTTTTCTCAGGGATATCCCTTTATTTTTCCTGATTATCGTTAAGGTTACTTTTCACGAATGTTTCTTTTTGTTGTTTTTTGGCAACAGTTGAACTTACTCAAGTCCAGTCAAATGAAGTTGAAGCCAATCAACGAATCAAAGAACAAACAGAATTGATAAAGTTATTAGAATCTGACCTTTATCGTTTGCAGACAAATTTGGATGAATCATTAAAATTGAATGATTCAAGGAACCGATTAGAAGGTCACCTTCTTGCAGAAGTTATCGGTGACCAAAAACCAAGTCAATGTAAGTATCAGTAGTTAATAATATTGTCGCTAGAAAATTTTATGTTATTTTATTTGTATTGTAAAGATCCTTTGTCTCTATTTATTTGTACTATTTATAATAACAACTTACGGATAGTTAGATTGTAAATGTCATGATAATGAGTTTATTGTTTCCCACCTACTTATTACTAATCGGTTGGTGACTTAGTAGATCTTTAATGAGTGATGTGGTTGAGATGTTTGGCCAATCGTTCTGTACTTTAAAACCTGATATTTACTGGTTTAGGAGTTTGTCGAAGAAATTCGATGATCGTCAAACTAAGATGTGGCATTAATTCATGAATTCATTGATTATGGGTGTGAGTCATGTTGGCGGGTGCAGATTGCATGATTTGAGTCCTTTCGATTATCGTAACTAATGGTAGGAGACGTTGTGGGACGTTGATCATGATTGGTTCCAATGGGATAAATGCATTCACTCTTCGTTTTCCTTCAGATCCTAAGTTTTAAATTTATTTTATACTTTTCTGTTCCACGGATTCATTCTTTCTTGAATCATATTGTCTATTACAAGTGTTTTATACTACTACTGAGTTCATGAATACTCTTAGGGCTCTGAAATTTGTTGATGATCTCACTTTATTTCGCTGAAATGATGTAACACATAAATTTTATTTATTTTTATTTAAACACATAAATATTGGTACAAGGAAGCACCAGATACATATGCGCCGCACAAATCTCATTCGATTTGAAATGTAATAGCTTGCACTAATGCATATATATGACAGGTTCTCTGTTGCAGATAATTGGCTGACGTATTGCGAATCGCATACATACTATGTAAAAGACTGTCAGTCTTTTTAAGCATTTAGGTTAATTAGTTATTCTCTCTTTAAGATACCAGTCAGTCAGTCAGCTAAAACGTAGGACCAGGCACATATATGCATCGGTCCAAGTTGCCATACCTCGTTAGTACAACAAGATGAACACAGGATTCATAGAAATAGTTAATTTAGTGGTGGTAGTATATAAAAGATAGGTTGTATATGAGGATATAGTACAGGAAGGAAGACAGATATGAATCAACTTTAATCTCAAGGTTTAAGGGAAAATAAAGAGTGTGTACATCTACGCCATTGTGATCGATCCTGAGCCATGTTACACAGAGTCTCCAACCATTGGTTACGATAGTCGCGCAGACCCCAACCAAGTAGTCTGCATCTGCCAACATGGCTCAGACTAGAAGTTAGTGACTTATCACGATAATACAGTCGAGCGATATTGAGTTGAACACTCGTCTCTGTAGGTACTATCATTCAGAGCAGGTCGGTTAGACAATAGTTAAACTTTATGCAAAATCTTGGGTTTTGAATTTGAAGTCACACTGCTGGTTGTACTGAAGTGTGACGGAAGTGACGTGTTTTCCTCAGACAGCTAACACTTACAAGGATGCTGCCTTCCCATAACAGGAGAGTTTAGAAAATGTTGACCATAAGAATAAAACACTACACCTTAACCCATGGATTTCTGTTGCTGGTAGCAAGGCCTTTAAAGTATGGAGCTAATATATCAAGAACTACTGACAAAAAGGTCATATGCAATTGAGTTTAAACAGTTGTTTCTTGAGCACTGTTTTAGCGTTCACGGGTCACCAAGATCTCTACAAGTTAAGCATTCCAAAAGAACTTCCCAGGTAGCTTCAAAAGTATTGTTCCACGATGTAGGTAACTGTAAAATAACAGCTTCCCACACACTTATAACAGCAGTACTAAACTGATCAATATGTCTGTCAGGATATTCACAGGAATATCCCAAAATTATCTCGAAAGTAAAGTCGTATGTTTTCAGACTCCTCACATATTTCGCATGTTATTTTCTATTGGTCATTATTTACAGTTGTCCTAACTATGACTTTCACGTGTCGTTTTCCTATTGGTCAATTTTGAGTTGTCCTAATTATAACCTTTGCGTGACCTTTCTTTTCTTTGGTTACTGTTCATAGTCATTTTAACTGTATAAATATGCCTTGTCTGTAAACCATTTTTGTTCTGTTGCTGACCCCATAAATAATTCTCATTTAACGGCTGTGTTCTGATTTATTGGAGTTGGGGAACAGTATTGGGGTCGCACTAGGATATCTGAATTTGGCCGATCGGTAGAATTCCGTGTAGTCTTATCGCAATAAGTAATATTTGGGCAATTTATATTAATGTCCTCAGAATCTAATGTGTTCACTGCTTTCTCTTTAATTGTTGATACACTCAGAGATTTTTTATTACAATAATAAACAATTTTTATCGTGTAGTAAAGCTAACTTGGTTACATGATGAGGTTTTATCGACTGCTTTATTTAGTCTTGGAGTGTTTGGTCCTGTAATAACATTATCATTGCCATTGAAATTTCTAAATACTGGCTTATAGCTGATTGTTTACGCTTTTCATTTATACCATATTATTTAATGGATGGTGATTATGACCCTGTTGACATTTTTAACTTTTTAGCTTGTTTCTGCTATAGATTTTTGTGATAGATTTGTTTCTGATCGATCGTCTATTCTACGTAGTGTGGTGATATTTGAAAAGTTTAACCTGCTGTCACTTTCTAATGTTTCTGATATATCTCTCACCATGTACTGTGAGAAACCCTAGCTTTAATGAGGATACACTGGATGTCACAATCCCCCTTTTCTTCTTCCGTATCCTCTAGTAATTCAAATAATTAATCTTGCGGGGAAGGTTTATTGTTAAGGTCTAAAGAAAATGGTTTAAATGTACAATAATTGAGTATATATATACACAGATTTTTTCACCACAATAAAAGTGAGGGATGGTCCCCAGGTGCAACTTGGCTCAAAGAACAAATCCAAACTTACAAAGTAAAAAATATAACAAATAAGTAAAAGGATTCTTAGAGATTTATTATCCCAAACACTCCCATAATGTAGTGTATTATTAATGACCTTTATAGCATGTGCTTATTGTCTCACATAATCAGTGTTATTAATATTTCTTGATTAATGTGTTGCTCCTTCAATACTGCATTTAATACATTGCTTTCTCGCTCCCAGTTCATTACACCTTGTAGACCATCACATTTAACCATATCATCTATTTGACGGTATATTATATCGTACAACCAAGACTTGATGTCTCCATTGTACATTTTCGTTTAGATCACTCATTACACACTGCTTGATATGGCTCCCAAATGCCCCGGTACCGCCGAGAGTGGGAAGAGTCCACTACCCCTCTCGAAGTGCTCTCACATGGCCACGCGTATATAGCCTCTGTCAGGGAAGTCCTACTCACTGCCTTCTCGTGGCATTACTGTTCATGAAAGTGAGAGGACGGAAAGCGAATGTCCGGCGCTCCAACCAGGTTGGTGGACACAGAGAGTCCACCTAAGGGGAGTTGGAAGACCCTCATTCCAAACCAATGGTCCACCTGGGCTCCAGTATCCTGAGGAAACAAATAGCGTATGTACCCATTGTTGGTCACTGGCTACCATGAGATTGCATCTCCTTACGATACTCCACTGCCTTATGGATCTGACCTTTAGGTCAAAGGCTCTAGGTGTGGCCCCCTAAGTGTCAGGAGTGGGATACTAGACTTAGCCTCCAAATGCCCTGAACTGAATTTAATTTTACATAAAATATGATGTATGCGTAAAATCTGGTCATATATCTTGCCGATAGTAGTGTTTATGGTTTCCTTCGAAGTGTCATTGACGTTTTTTAAACATTGTCATTTATGAAACCCATGTTAATTCGATTTTTTTTTAATTGTCCTAATTTAATGCAAATATATACGTGCATGTTTAGACAACCAATCATTATTGAACATTGTACAAAATCAACGTGATCGATTTCGAACACGAGCTGAAGAATTAGAACAGGTTAGTCAATGAAAAAAGTCGCCTTTTTTCAGGTGATTTACAACGCAAGTTATTCCTTATTACACTATCAGACAACAAACATTACATAAAGTTTTAATGTGTTGGAACGAAGGAGTGCATTTTTCTAGCTACAGCCCTGAAAATTTTGAAAATCGTTAACTAATAATAGTGATCCTAAATGAAATTAATTATTGTGATCCAAGAAAAAGTTACATACGGAGCAACCGTTTTCTCTTTATCGAGTATATATTATCGTATTAATTTCTTTTTTCACTATGCTTTCCTATTTTTCCACCGTTGAGATATGTGATGGTCCAATTTCACACATTTTTGTTCTCGATTGTTGTTAGATGTTTTCTGTTAATATTCTTTCTACTATCATTGAGATTGTTGCTAATTCTACTGCGCTAACATTTGTCTTGATAGACAAAGGTGGATGGTGACTAGCAGTGGAATCCAAAACGTCCGTTTTGTTCTATTTGGAACTCATCAGCTGGATGCACCTGCATCCTAGAGTTGATGTCCACTCCGGGACTCAAACCCAATACCGTCCGCTTCAAACGTCATCGTGTTATCCACTTAGCTACTGAGTCCTGATAGCCACTAGCTTGTGCAATGGGGTGAAGTTTAAATTCATTTTGTATTGTCTGTTTGAATCTTCCCATTGATATTTAGGACTGCCTCAATATCGAGGCAATCCGCACAGGATGCACATATATCAATAAGAGACTGATCAATTTCTGTTCTAAACATCAATGTGAAGATTCAAACAAACAATACAAAATGGGTTTGTCTTGATAATTTTATCTGGCTGTGTTAATATGGTATAGTAACTGAAATTGATGCATATATTTCCCCAGGTTCTACGTTGTTTGTGACTGAAATAGCATAATGGAAGTTCTTTCACGAACTTGAAACATGTTATTTTCAATTTTACTTACTCGTCAATTGACCTGACTTGTTTGATGTTTTAACCATAAGAAAACGGAAGAGGAGGGGAATTTATATTTAGTAATAAATAACTATGACGGAAGTATCTCAGTAAGATTTAATGTGTCGTACAGATACGCTACTGGAATTGTAAACGCGATACTGGCGACCCAGATTCTATGTGAAACCTATAGTCAGAACAAGGAAAACTTGGCTTCAAACTGTATCTATTTCGACCAGTGTTGCGTGTCTTATCGAAATGAATAGAAATTATGAGGCACACTAATATAATTGGCAGGTTACATGCAACAGGGATAGTCTACAGACACATCAGACCAGATTGACGTGATGGGCGGTTAAGCAACAATTTGACTGGTTAGTTATGGACATAACTAACAATCTGAGCTGTAAATATTATACTAGAATTTTGTTTTTAATTTATATTCTTCCTAGTATTTACAAAAAAACAAACTTCTATTAGCACTCATAGCCCCACGAGTTACATAATCTTAGCAATCAATGGAATCAATTCTTTTGTGTCAAATTACAAACTAGCCCGTTTCAACCATTTTTATTTACATAGTTGAGATCATGAGTCAACTGAAGCTAGACCACCATGAAAAACTTGGAAGCACTGGACGGCCGTTTCGTCCTATTGTGGGACTCCTCAGCAGTGCGCATCCACGATCCCGCCTCACGATATTCTAACCCAGGACTTACCAGTCTCGCGCCAGAGAACTTAACCACTAGACCACTGAGTCGGTATCCAAAGTACCATATCATAAGCAAATGGATTTCGAACTTCTTTTATTTCAGTTGGGTCAATTACAAAAAGTTCCTCCATACGGATGTTGTTGTATTTGCACGACTTGAAACATAACTTTAAGGCCCTATACTAAACATGCAATTATTTCACTATTTTGTTGACAGATTGAAATAAAGCATTGAATATCTTCCCCTTACGCAATACAAATTATATTTTAATTTGTTTACCAGAATGAAATAAATTTACGCCAACAGTTGGTATCACTTCAACGTGAAGTTGAATCAGTACGAGCTGATAATGTTAAACTGTACGAGAAAATACGTTTCTTACACTCTTATGGTAATCCTGTAATACAAAATCGACAAAATAATTTATCTAATCAGCATCCTTCATCACCGGTGACAATATCATTGTCTCCATCGCCTTTTCAAAATCATGAGTCGAATGACGCGACTATCATTAAATATTCACAAGTTTATGAAGCTCAGTTAAATCCTTTCAATCAATTTAGTCGATATGAGAAACAAAGAGTGTATAAAAAGTTACAACCATATGAAAAACTGATGTTACATTTGGTATGTTGGTTTATTTTGTTTGCCTTTCTTTTATAGTTTACATTATGGACCTAGTCTTAGTTTGTAGACAACCACTGAAAAAAAGAAGTCACTGGATATTAGTTGTGTTATCCTGGTAGAGGGACTGTCTAGCAGTGCTTACTCGTCAAGGATCGAACCCATGACTTTCAGGTCCATGGTAAACATTATTCAGCGATATCCATTTTTCAATGGTGTTTCAAATGAAATCAGTCTGTGATGAATACAACCTACGAATGTATAAATATTTTCTTTAATGTGATGTATATATATTTTTAGGCACTTTACTGAACAGTATTTGTTTCACAATGTTGCTGTTATTGCATTTTTCTGTTGTTGTTTTTCTAATAGGGACGTTTTGTTAGTTCCGATCGTAGACTTCGCTTGGGTGTATTTTTGTATGCAATATTTTTACATTTATTCATATTTATTGCACTGTATAAAGCAGCTCATTTCCAGCATAGTGCTTTAGAAACTGAAGCCAATTGTCATTCTCGGTAAGTCTTTCTTGATGAATTATCGAACCGTAATGCCATATCCTTTATACTGGTGTTTATCCTTGATGCTCATATTGAGTAACACTTAGGACTGCTGTAAATAAACCTTTAAGCACCAAATGTTTGTTTCAAACAAGTTTAGTATTCAATAATAGTTCACGTACCCCCCAACTCCTGATCTTCACATCTTATAGAAAGATCGACGAGACTATAATTTATGGACGACCTTTGAACGAATCTTAAATGACCTTGAGAAGTACTGGTCAATCTGAAGACAATTATTATACAGGAGAAATATGTCATACAAAACCAAAGAATTAAAGTGGATACACTTCTTTTATATCGTCCAAAAACTTGTCAAGGTTAGAAAAAGGTTCAAAAGTTCCAAAATCGCAATGCATAAGGTAAAGGAACTCATCCATATAGCTCCATAATAATTGGTCTCTGGAACCATGATAAGGTCACAAAAACCCTCTCAGCCTCGACCACATAGCTTCAGTATTGTTTGTGTGTACTCCGGTTGTGTAAGTTTATCATTTTTATTATGGATATGTACCTGCAATACTCTTATCACTGAACAGCCGAAGCTTCAGTAACATCTGCGATTATTGCAGCCAATTTTACTGGTGCTTTTATTATACAGTTGGTGGCAATTATTATAATATGCTTTAGTCTCAACCTGCATCGGGCGATAAAGGTTCCTATTCTAGCAAACGTCTTCCTTCAACATATATTACATTGAAGGACAACATCAAGGTTGTCTGTACAAAGTCTACAAGTCATTTAATACCCGCAATTACAAATGCAGGAACTTCTTAGTAGTCTCATTTGTAGTAGCCGCTTAATTGTCAAGTCTTCTCTAAAATTCTCTATGAACCGATCGTATATGAGCACCAGGTACCGAAATTGGCGCTATGACCTTGAAATCCCTCAAACGCTTCTGATTGGCTCGTCCATAAATTATAGTCTCGCCGAAAGATCTTCAATCAACCATGAACTAGAATGGTAAATGTTTGATATCAAGCCATTATCATCCATTTTAATTGGAAGGTATTTAAAATCTGCGAACTTAGGTTTAAATTAGAAAAAAACATATATAAGCTGCAAATATCTTTTCAATGAGATATTGTATAGGCTCTACTCTAATTATGCATTAATATGTGTATTCATATGTGAACATTTATAAACCAATCAAATAAGTGTTTATTAAGTGAATAATAACGATTAAACAGGATTACATAACTAAATATAGTCAGTAAAAGATAATAATTGATATTAAGATGACAGGCTCGAATCCCTATATCCTCTACTACATGTAGTAGAAGAGGTCGAACCCCGTTGGGAAACTGCAAAGATGTTCATATTACTCTGAATGATCAGTTCCTATTTACCATTTGACCAAGCGTGTTAAATTCATATTGTCTTTGTTCACGAACGATACAAGGAGATGTTCACTCATCCGCTGGTTAAATTACTAAATGGCGTACCTAATAAATCCTTCTACAAAATAGCAGCTGAATCGGTAGATACACATTAAAGAGGCAACATAAAAAGATAAGTCACGAGACCATTCTCTATGTAAATAAACTGATACATCAATTTGGACGTTGCTAGATTGTAATTCTATTATTATTTCGATAATGTAATGAGAAGACGAAGATTATCAGAACTATGTGATATATTAGCGCAATACATTTCGAACAATCTGATCACACATATACTTGTTAAGAACATTTATATATAAAAATAAAAGGTCAACTAGACTGGAAATAGGGGTAAGAATAGACAAGGATAATAATGATAAAATAATATGAAAACAATTTGAAACCTAATCACTCTGGATAATAAGTTAATATTACCAGGGTAGGTTTAAGGTGAGAACAAACTGTTTTTAAATACACAAAGGGGATTTGAATTTTCATGTGGCTTAGCTTCAATAAACCTCAGCATACGCCGTTTTACACTTTTGTACTACACCACAAAATCCGATTTAAGATCAATCTTATGGCCTCTTTCGATTATATATTTGACAATAAAGGATGATGGATGCTTATCCTCTACTCTTATTGTGTCATTTGATTCTATTTGTTTCTGAAACCATTTTGTTACATGTTCACACACCCTAATTTTGATATCATGATTTGTCCTCCCTATGAATGCGTGACCGCACATGTACCAAAATGGTATTTGCAACTATACTACTTATGAGTAAATAGTATTTTATTGCAGAATATCTTACCCATCTTTCGCTGACTATTTAATTACTTTTATCCATTCGGTCATTTTTGTCCTTGTTTATACTAATTATGGACCGTTTTTATGGTGTTTCAATCACCTTTAAGTTTTTAGTGTAGACTCGTTATTATTTACTTTAGAACTATAGAGAGTTAGAGAAGCTAAGACAGTTTCCTAACTTTCACTGACCCCGGGTTCTTTACACAATCCAATCTGAAAAACCCTCCATTCAAGTAAAACTAAACTGCTAACTCATCATTCCTGTGGAACTCTTCAGTTCTTAATTTTGTGAAAAAAGTTATAAAAAATGCTCACAGTTTATTGTTCAATTGTTTTCGGTTTTTTCTCATTTATCTGAGCTAGTTGAAGTAGAAGAAGAATATGTTTTGTATAATTGTGGAGATTTCAGTATTTTCATAGTTGAAATCATGAGCCAATTGAAGCCAGACCACCATGGAAAACCTGAGAGCACTGGACGGCCGTTCCATCCTATTATGGTATTTCTCAGCACTGCGCAGTGACCAGTGTTGTTCAACCAGTTCTGTTGTGAGATATCAACTCACTGAAGACATTGGTGAACGGCTGCTCAAACTTCGTGTATTGGTTGAAGTTAGACATTAACACCGTTGGATGCAGGCTGGCTCAGTGGTCTAGTGCTCTGGCGCGAGACTGATAGGTAATGGGTTCGAATCTCGCGAGTGCGGGATCGTGGATGCGCACTGCTGAGGAGTCCCACAATAGAACAAAACGACCGTCCAATGCTTCCAGGTTTTCCATGGTGGTCTAGCTTCAATTGACTCATGATTTCAACTATGACAATATATATAAGATAAAGATAATTCCACTACATTTGACTATTTCATATATTGTTGTTTTCTATGTTTATTTTAGCTTTGAAAAACATATGCGAGAAGTTCACAATCAAGATGGTGGAAATCTTTAACATTTCCTCTCTATACTTTCTATTTCAATTTTCTTTTTTTTGTTTATTTTCTATTATCTTCAAGTGTAATACTACACTGTGAGAATATAAAGGTATCATAAACAGTATGGTTATATTCATTATTATTATTATTATGTGATACTGGCTTTCTTTTTTTCAAATGAAAAGTGTCCACGTGGTTTGTGTGTGTGTGTATATTGGGTTTATTTTGTTTTTTAAGAAAAAATTAATTTTAGAAAATTTATTTTGCATTAGACATGTATGTACTTTATGTGATAAAACTTTTTGATTTCTTTGAGTATACAAGATTCTTCCTAAGCGAAAAACAACAAATCTATTTGATTATTTTAGTTAAACTCATTAATATTGGTACTAAGAGGCACTAGATACATATGCGCCGCACAAATCAAATGAGATTTGTGTGAAGGCTGTGATACTGCCAAGGTGCATAAACTGAGGCAGGTGGTTTTCATAGGGGACCATAACCTGAGCCTTTGACCTAAAGGTCTAACCCACAAGGCGGTGGAGCATCGTGAGGAGATGCAGTCCCTTGGTAACCGGTGACCAACGATTGATATATACACTATTTGTTCCCTCAGGATACTGGAGCCCATGTGCACCATTGGTTTGGAATCAGGGTTTTCCGACTTCCCTTGGGGGATCCTTCGTGTCCACCATCCCGGTCAAAGCGCTGGACATTCGCTTTTCGTCCTCTCAATTTCGTAAACAACAGTAATGTCACGAGAAGGTAGTGAGTAGGACTTGTGTGGCAGAGGCTATATATTCGCGTGGCCATGTGAGAGCATTTGGAGAAGGAGAGCGGACTCTCTCCACTCTCAGCCGTACCAGGGCATTTGGGGGGCGAAAAACAACAAAACTTAGTCGGATTTCGTTATATTACTAAAAGTAAACTAATCAAAGACAACTCAACAACTTAGTTGGATTTATGAATGTTGAAATAGTTCATTTTTTATTACTGTTCCTAAATGTTATATACGGTACTAATTGGGGATTATGGTCGAAATTCGATCAAAGCAAAACATGGTGCTACTATGCATATCTAATTATCAATCTTCATGTTTACACTATTTCAGTAAATCACAATTATATTATGATTCGTTTGGATAAATCTCATTTATATATAGTAAATAATTGACCAAATAGTAATTTAGCTATATGTGATGATCTAATTTATAAAATTCTGTCAGTTTTGTAGAATCCAAACAGGAATTCGAACTCAAGGATTGTGAACTAGAGGTATAATAACTTGAAACTAGCGACATGTACCTCAAAGTACTAGTACTCTTAGAAAGACGGAATAATAAATACTTTGCATAGCACAAATATTACTATTACTAGTAATAATAACGACCTAAGAGGATGTAATAAAAGTTATTATGGGAGTGATATACTGACATCTGTTTCTTCCTGAGCATATAAGTTTGGTTTAAATATCTAATAACATCTGCTGTCGGATATTTTTTGACTGTAATCTCAGGCTCTTTGGGACATGTTCGGAGATACGGAAATATACTATTCTCTCTCAGTGTATGTGCTTCAACATACACCTGTAAATTGATGTGTGGTAGGAAATAGTAAGGAGAGGGAACTTGTCGATTTGTGTCTTTTTTAACGGAGTTCATCTTATACAAGGTAATAAGTCTTCTTGCTAAATAAGTAGTCTTCAGTGCATCATTTATTCTGCGTTTAATTAATGCAATAATTTTGACCCTGTCGAAGGTAGGCCATAGATAGTATGCTGTATTTTAGTTATATCGTACTTCAAGGGTTCGTTCTGTCTCAGCGTACCTATCCATGCATTTCTGTGGATATATATTGCCATATGATGTTGCAAATAGTCGAACGTATAATGTTTTCAGTTATAACTCAGCGTAGATACTTTTCACTGTTTCTCAATCCTAAACCGCTAGGAAGACCACGTTTTCTAGTTCTTATTAACAAGTGGTTGTTATTACGTGTACAGATAATCGGATTAACATGTATTCGAACTCATTTTTGTAATAACCTCTACTATTTCCCGATTGGTTATTCCCACTTTTAGTTTACTCATCCTACTTTGACCCTAAGTCATTTCTATTACTATGTATATAGAGTTGTTTTACTACAAATTACACTTCCTTAATATCAAGCTTCCATCACTTGAAGGATTGTTGTTAAAGTGTGGTGTATCAATTGTCAGATCTATCAGGCTCGTATAGATCCAGTTTCGTATCAGAATGTACCAATCTTTCACAATCAAGAATAACCGTAAGCTAAGACAAAACTTAAATATTCTAAATTAATCATTATATGGCCAAGTGCGCTAAAAAGATAATAAAAAATATATTTCACTAAACAATACGAATTGACTATTACTCGAAGTAGTTTATAACACACTGAGCAGTAAAAAGATTATATCTAGCCAATGACTGGAAGAAACTCTTATTTGGTGTTATGTTTGAAGCGGTTACGAGATCACTTAGTCTGCGAACGGAACAAAGACTTGTGACCAGAAACCAATAAGCTATCTATTCTGACGCGTCCCAGACCCGCTAACTAGAGTGAGAAGTCCAAGCTGGAAATGGGGAAGATATATTCCGTAAGCAGCCAGAAGCACAAGCAATCGCAACAGGAAGAAATGAAACGTATATATACAGCATAAAACTGTCCTTGGGAAGCGTTACCAAATGGCATACTGAAAGATACAACGGACCAATAGCGTTTAAGATTTTCCCGAGTGGGAAATACGACCTGAAGGTGAAAAGAGCGCTTTTGGCGCGAGAACAGAGAAATTCAAAGTAAAATTACAAAAATAAGTCGTTCACCAAGTGAGTTCCGGGGATCTAACATCCCCAACATTTGGCGAAAACATATTATTTTGTATACACTGTTAAAATGTGAAGACGGTTAAATGATTTACACTGAGTGGTCTAACAGCCGAACAAACTAATCACTAGAATTACTCACACCATGTGGCAGCACTAATTAAAATCTGAAGTACATAAACTTCTATCACCAACAGGTCATAATAATAATGATTTAATCGCCTATTATCAGCTCTATCAATAATCCAGTCAAAAATGTGACTAGCTTTAAGACTTTGTTTTCTATACAAAAACAAAAGGAATTCATTATATTCAGGGCTAAGTCAACATATTTGCAACCGGAAACAAATTAATATGTGTATCAACATGTTCTTAAAAAAGTATGCCCGAAATGCCGTAAGTGATTTAAAAGTTTAATCGCTAGGCTCTCGATATCTTTAGAATATTCAGGATAATAAGCTAACAACTAACGCTAATTTTACTTCGTTTTTTAAGGTCAACTGCTATCGAATCTTTATAGCCTAGGTAATTTATACGGAAGAACATTGTGATAAACCAGCTAGTGCTATGGTGATTGTGACTACACCATTGTTAACTCTTACATAATCTTAGTGCTAACGTATTAATTTGATTTTTGTTCTAGTTATGTTGATTGATTCTCTAATCGCTCAATACTTTCACTAAGATTATGCGTTGTGCGATCGTTCACGTTCGATACTGGTAACAAAACCTATTCACAAGCCTAGACCAGCTACCTGAATTTATTGACTACAAATGAACCGAAAAGCTATATACACTCATTCCCAACTGTATATCATTTTCCCATAAAAAACAAAGCCAAATCTCCAACCGATATCGTGTCATTCCTTAGAAAATGAAACCAATTCTTAGCCAATCGCGTTCAGATTGGGCCAATTAGACTTACGCCAAAAGATATGAATGGTTTCTTGGGTTCAGTTGTCAGAAATGAGATGGAGGTACATCACTCGTAATTATTAATAGTTATGATCTCACCTCTACTTTATATCACTAATTCATTCGTCACATAAATATGTGTCCCATTCTAAGTATACTTGATCACATATTTGTGTCCTATGTAAATTCTTGTTTCCGTTTTTGGTATTCAGCTCAATATCAATAGCTAAAGGCTATCAAACGTTAGTTTATGTAATTTTAAGCTATTTATGGTTAATGAAAAGTTTTGGAATAGAAAGAATTTATTTTATTCGGCAAATCTTGGTATTTACACTCTTTTTAGACCTATCCAATGATAAAGCTGTATGAAATAAAGGCGGTTATTTACTTTATTTCAAATGTACAATGTTAAAATGGTAAATATGGATATATGATGGAAAATAAGGACTTAACTGTCCTGTTTACTTTGAGGAAGTTGAAAACCTCTAGCAACTAAATAGATTTCTGATGACTCTTTCCGACTAGCTTCCGGTTTAATAAAACGCGTAAATGAAGAACACTTCGAATTTAACGTATAAAATTGTGAAACGGTTTGTTTAAATTCTTCAGCTTCCTGACTTTGGAATAATTTAATCACAAAAGTGGCCCCTTCTTTTGAAACACTGATTGCTACCTAAAAATAAGAGTTCCCGAACAAGAGAGCATTTCAGTTGGTTGACATGCATTAAGTTAATGAGCTACTTGAAAAACAATTAGTAAAGAGTTGAGCTTTTTATATGCTACTGGAGTAACAGTTATACTATATCAGAACCTAAAAGAAAATCCATTTTATGCTAGATCATTACCTTTTTTTATACAGCACTATTAGACATTTCAACTTATTCAGCTACCGTTACTTCTGTAAGTGAGAATAGTTGTTTAGTCATTTCAATAACAGGGAAATAAAACTGTTGGATGTAATGCAGCTTCAAGCAACGAGTTATACAATCAGCATAGCCTATTATTCATATGGTAATAATAAATGGGTCATTATTCAAACAACAATATACTGAGATCGGTTTAAAGTTCAAACTCGATGTTAATTATGGACTATAAATAAATTACTTTTGAATGCATTTTAAATAACTCAACTTTCGTATTCTAAGTCGTTATACACACATAACCTTAGGTTCATACTGGTTGTGTGAACGCTGGCAGTGATGTGACATGCAAAATCCCTTTATGTATAAATGAAAGCCGAAAATGCCCATCTTAATCTTTGGCACTGTCTTTATGTTAGTCTGGCTGTAAAATATTGAGTTTATAACGCGTTGGTGAGAGAGCTTTTTACCTTATGCTTGTGAAATTTGTCCTCTCGATGTTGAGTTTGTTCTGTGATTCTCTACGTTCGATTATCGTTGTCTCCGAAGGAGACATGTACATGATCATTCAATTAGTGTTGCCATCTTGACACACTGGTAGTAGTTGGGTTGACATGTTTTACGTATGTAATCCCACAAGCTTGCACACAGCATTAATTGCTGATGCTATTCTTCTTTTTTAGATCGAGCCCCTACTCCCCTCCTTTATTTCTTCACGATGTTGACTGTCTTTATTTCATATGGCACATTCTATTCTTGGTTTCTGGATGTACTAAATCTTATATGTTATATGGGTTCGAATCCTAGATTGAACATCAACTCTGAGATGCAGGTACATCCAGCTGACGAGTCCCAAATAGGACGAAACGCGCGTCCTGGATTCCACTGCTAGCTACTATCTATCTTTGCTTATAAAGCTTGTGACTTCATGCAATATTGAGGCAGTCCGCATAGGATGCACATATGCCAACAAGAGACCGATCAATTGCAGTCCAAAATAACAATGGGAAGATACAAGTAAACAACAACAAGTGAAAATAAAATACTTATTATATTACACATCGATACAAATTACACATTGATAAATCAACTTACTCGTAAAATATTATACGCTAATTTCATCATAGCTGGTATATCGATTTCACGCATTCCTGCCACATTTGGAGCTATGTCACTGAGAACAACATCAACACGTGGAAGTGATTTCTGTTTCTCGGGTTGTAACGGTTTACCGTCGTTATTATTATTATTGTTGAAATGACTGGAAATTGATTGATTAATTAAATTTATACATTCAGACCAATTATTTAAATCAACACCACAATGTGTAATAACACCAGGTAATGGTGCAAAGTTTAATAAATCAAAAGCAATTACTAAACCTTTATTTTGATTATTTGAGGCTTTGAGATTATTATTATTATTATTATTACAATTGATTAAAGATGAAGCTACTTGACACCATGATCCTGGTGCAGCACCACAATCCACAACAATATCACCAGGTTTAAAAATTCCACCGGAAATTTTATCATTTAATTGTAATAATTTGAATGCGCTACGACATCTATAACTTTCAAGATGAGCACGTTTTACATAAGGATCGGAACGTTGACGTGCAATCCATCTCTATTCAAAATAAAGGATATATGTATAGAGATTCGATAAGGAAAACTGAATTGATGAGAAATATACATACATCTTATTTTCTGTGATAATTCTTAGTAAATGCATAACAATAGAATCTATGGGAAATGCGTTTTGATGAGTAATGTATACCTCAATTCTAGAATTAAAATGAGTGATTTTATTTAAGTAATTAAAGTGCGAATGTGGCGTACAATATAAGTCCCCTTCAGTCAGTCAGCTACAACGTAGGACCAGGCACATATATGCATCGGTCTAATTTGCCATACCTCACTCATTAATACAACAAGATGAACTCCGGATTCATATAAATAGTTAATTTAGTGGTGGTAGTATATAAAGGATGGGTTGTATATAAGGATATAGTATAGGAAGACAGATTAATATGAAGCAATTTCAATCTCAAGGTTTAAGGAAAGACAGAAAGTGTATACACCTACGCCGTTGTGATCGATTCTGAGCCATGTCACCTAGAGTCTCCAACCACTGGTTACGATAGTCGCGCGGACCCCAACCAAGTAGTCTGCATCTACCAACTTGGCTCAGACTAGAAGTTAGTGACTTCAACCTCTGATGCCACGCTTTGGTTTGGCCGCCCCTAACTCTCTTCCAACCATCGCCAATACTAGTCACCATAGCGCGTCGTGGTAATCGGTGCTCAGGCATACGTAACACGTGCCCCAACAATCTCAGTCGATGAAGATTTATTACCTTATCAAATGATTTACCATCATTCCCTAGTACCCTGTGTCTAAACTCACTATTACTTACCCGGTAATCCCAGCAGATGCGAGCAATATTTCTAAGGCATCTGTGGTCAAATACTAGTAAATTACCAGTATATTGTACTCTTAATAGAAGATACTCGTAAGTCCCCTAGCAACACATTAATGTCCAGTGAACTCAGTAACTGAATGGAATTGTGCCTTCTGCAATATCCAAAGGGTCTTGAGTTCAATTATATGTAAGATACAGTTCTGAAGTGTAGTTCATTCTCGATAAATGAATGTAACGACCATATCTCGTCATAAATCAATACTGTCAAAAAAGTTAAATAGCTCAAACAAAAGTAATAAGAAATGTTGAACCGATATTCATCTCACAGGATCTGTATCAACTTTTTAATTACAAGTATCTTCAATGTTTTAAGACTGTTTTTATGTAGTGCAAACAACAAAATACGATTTTGTTTGATATTATTAAGTTATTTGGTTTTAAACAAGATTTTCAAGAAAATTAAGATAAATTTAAAGATTCAGCAAATTTTCTTCTAGCGATACTAATAATTGATTTACTCACAAGTATGTGTATACTCAGAAGGGGTATTGTGGGGATTTCAGTATTTTCATAGTTGAAATCATGAGTCCATTGAAGCTAGACCACCATGGAAAACCTGGAAGCACTGGACTCATGATTTCAACTATGAAAATACTGAAATCTACACAAAACCCCTTCTGATTATAATCATATGTTCACTAGTGACTGACTTCAAATACATGTCCTGGAGTTCTAGTAGGAAGCAGTGACCAGTGGAGTTCAACCACGTCTGTTGTGAGATATCAACTCACTGAAGACTATTGGTGAACGGTTGCTCAACTACATGGATTGGCTGGAATTGGACATGAACACCACCGGATGCCGGCTCAGTGGTCTGTCAGTTAAGTGCTCTGTCGCGAGACTGGTACGTCCTGGGTTCGAGTCTCGCGAGTGCGGGATCGTGGATGCGCACTGCTGAGGAGTCCCACAATAGGACGAAACGGCCGTCCAGTGCTTCCAGGTTTTCCATGGTGGTCTATCTTCAATTGACTCATGGTTTCAACTATGAAAATATGTGTATAATCTTATTAGTAATTATTCAGTGTCAAAGGTAGTACAATTTGTTTAATCCTACCAAAATAAATATCTAACTTAAACCCAATAATCACTGGATAAAATGATAAGATTCCCGTTAGAGATCATTAACACGTACACAAAACTAATATAAAATAAACTAACTTGAGAGCTCCCATCATTTGAACGAATACTAATGATTAAACAAAATACTACTTGATTCGTTAAACAATATGGAAGACTCCTTGAATTCAACCAATAGAATGAGTGCTAAATAAACAAATACAAGCATGATAGATTAGTGTTTCATTATAAATGATAGGAGACTTATAGAGATTGTAGAATTTTATAGTTTACATCACGCGTTGACCTTAATCACAGAATCATTGAAAATTAAGAAACAAAGGATAGTTCCTACATCCTATTTTGAAACTCCTCGATAGCGAGTAACGACAAACCACTAACCAACGAACCCACAACCTTCAGATCTCGTAACAAAATGCATTTCCCACAGTTCTACTGGAAAGCAATGACCAGTAGAATGAAATTATATCGGGTACTCAGCAGTTACACATTAATAGCAATGTCGCGAACTGACTGAAGTCATAGGCATAAGCCAATGAGCGTCGACTCAGTGACCTAAGATTTAGGCGCTTGGCTTGAAAATCTGGGGTTTAATCCCTGATGAAGTTGTAAATGCAGATTGCTGAAAAGTTTTAGAACAAGAGGAAACAGCCATCCAGTGCTTCCTGATTTTCGTCGGTTGTGCAACTAAGACCAGCTTGTCATGTAAACTGTATGATTTCTTATAATTTGAATTAGATAAATAAGCTATAAACGACCAATTTTGGAAACATTTCATGTTTATGAAAATTAAAATTCTAACAACAGGTGTAAGCCATGTACCTGCGCAACACTTACGTTATGATGGAGGGGGTGACCGAGATCTGATAAACAACTTGGTATGCACTAACCTCCCCCAAACAAAAAACTGACTGCTTGAGAGAGAAGACAGGAGTGGAAGAGAAAGTCTATTGGGTTGCTGAATAAAATGCATAAATACTCATTTATATATACATATTTTGATCCCTTAAAAAATGAATTCATTTCTTAGCCAATGATATGCATTTTTCATTCAGGGCATTACTGATTGTTAAAGAAGGATCTCATTTGGTCACTTATGATCGGCTCACTATATAAATTTACAGATGATTATTTGTACTTTTTGAAATCTGTATAATATTTAACACTATATATAATTAAATTTATTCAGTACTGTTTGTTTGGATCTTCCCATCGATGTGTTAGGACTGCAACTGGTCAGTCTCTAATTGGCATATGTGCATACTGTGCGTATTGCCTCGATATAGCCTTAATTCACAAGCATTGTAAGCAAAGATGGCAATACGCACAGTATGCACATATGCCAATTAGAGATTGACCATTTGCAGTCCTAAAAACATCAATGGAAAGATTCATACAAACAATACTAGATGAGTTTAAACATCACCCCATCGCACAAGCAAGTAGCTATCAGAACTCAGTGGCCGAGTGGATAACACGATGGCGTTTGAAGCGAACTGTACTGGGTTCGAGTATCAGAATGGACATCAACTCTGAGATGTAGGTACATCCAGCTGACGAGTCCCAAATAGGACGAAACGCGCGTCCTGGATTCCACTGTTAGCCACTATCCATCTTTGCTCACTATTTATAATTGCTACTAACATTTTTGACTCTTTAAAGGAGTAAGGTGTCTTTAAAAAAATGGAACAAAAGCTTTGTCCATGTTTAATATACATGCAAATCATCAAGACTTATATTCGATTTGATGAATTTTTGTCACTCTTGCTAAATGTTCACACTACACAGTCAAAAGTGAATAGTTGTTATCATACTATGCCAAGTGTAAATCCTATACAAAGTATCTTGTCCAGTGACTAATTTGTCCAAGAGTGATACAATTTTAAGTGTTAGAAACACACAAAATCAATATTTCACAACTTTTAATAGATGACAAATTAACATAAACGAATTTTCGGTTATTTATGATCACTGTGAAAATCCTTTTGATTTTATTTATATGATGGAAACGACTGTTATGTTAGTTTTTGCACCGAAAACTGCCACGAGAAGACAGTGAGTAGGACTTCCCTGGCAGAGGCTATATACGCGTGGCCATGTCACAGTATTTCGAGAGGGAGAGAGGACTCTCCCCACTCTCTGCCGTACCAGAGCATTTGGGGGCAAACTCGATAAGATCTGGTTTCATATTTGGAGTTGTTATATCTGGCCGATTGTGAACGCTATATTCGCTTCCCTAGGCTAGTCCCGTACCCCCGAGCTAGAACTACTCAGCAACTTGAAGACCAGAGAAAAGGAACAAAGTGTGAGGGAAGCACTTTACTACAAGGTTCATTTATGTACAGAAAATACAGGGGTTTTATAGCAATTAAGGGACCTTGAGTCTCCATAGTAGCAGTATGTTAAACAGCCAATCAGGATCTCGTTATTTTAGAAACATAGTTTCTTACTAATCGCTGATTGGTTGGGGCTCTTTATGAGCCTCTGGAGGCTCTGACAGAGTTTACTGTAAGCCGACTTAACAGGAGTTACAAGTGTAAATTGAATTAGGTGAATGTAATCGCTTTTATAGAAATGAATTTCAATATTTCCTGAATTTACTGCAGCGGAACAACTAAATTTCAATCGATTGTTGTCATAATGAATGAAATATATTCATTGTTCACTGTAGCAACAATTAATTTGAATACAACATTAGACTCTAAGAATATGTGCAATTTCAGAACGTAAGAAATTTATAATTCTTTAGAGATTGTCAAAACATAAAAGCATTGTTTGTTTTATCTTTTGAGAATGCTGACATGACCATATATATATCCGTGTGTAAATAGATTTGACCTTATAGACACTGAATTAAAATTAGTTCGTTTATTTTGAGATCTGAATAAGAAATATATGTATTAGGTCTTGAAACGGTTTTCATTTAAGGATACTTTATTCCGTACTTACACCACTAAACAACCTATCAATAGATGACAAATAATTTTACCAAGATGTAAAGAATGATCATATTCTTATTTAAGACTAACTACACTGGAGTTGATCGATGGTAGTTCCTTTGAGAAGCTATGATCTGTTGAACCAATTGGCCTGGAAAAAAAACTAGACACTTACAAAAAATAATGAACAATCGTGAAGCTGTCTTTTAAAATCGATTTTGAATTTCAGGATAGTGACAACTAGGTTTTGATTCACTGATTGAGTAATACCGTAATATATACAATAATTAATGGTCTTGGGTCAGATTTTGTGCCCGTTGTTGAAGAGTCCTATAATAAGAAGACGCGAAGTGAACGAAGCTCCTTGAAATCAATTTCTCTCTGGCTGATATCCATTTATGATCAAATCATTATTAAAATACTATTGTTTTAATTAAATTTGGACTACTTTATTCACATACACACATATTAAGTGTCATCTACCCTGTTATTTTTATTGATGCTTGCAGTGTATCCTTAGATCATTAGATGACGATCAGTAAATGTGAATAGATGAATTTATTGATGCAAACAAATATCATACTGTTAGATATTATTTATATCAACGTTTACGATTATGTGACCAAATAAGGAAGTTTCAAAAATCTAGAAAAAGTTGAAAAACTCTCATATTGTGATTTAAAACAACATATATAAGCGAACAATATTGTTTTCGATTGGATCCTCATCAGCCTTTACTCTAATATACAGTAATATTTGTATGCATATACGAAATTATTAAACCAATCAAAATAGTTTGTGAGTCAATGATAACAGTGTAGTACAGTACATAAATAAACATAATAAGTAAAGAGTACAAATTGATGGTGTGATGCCAAGTGTACTAGTCGTGATAAGAATAATAAAGGCTTGAATCAATGTTACATAATGGGGAATAGGTCAATAGTTAAAAAAAATATAGACACTGAAATAACATAGAATTATAAGAAAGAAGGAAATGATGGGACGGGGTGAAGAAAAATAAACGAAGAGTATGGAATTTAAAAATAAATAAAATCATTTATTAAGGCCAAGGGAGAGATAAAGGTGTTACAAATTTCTTATGAACACAAAGACTTGGATTGTTGGCTCGAATTCCTATAGCTTCTGTTATGTGTAAGAGACGAAAAAATAGTAGGAATAAGATAAATAACTTTAAATGACTTATTTCTGTCAACTATATGATCGCTATCGATCAAGTGTGAAATAATCGAGCTCCGTATTGTCTTGACAGTACCTTTTCCTAACTACGAAGGGAGGTGTTCACTAACTCTGGTTCAGTTGTCTGATAGTGCACTCATAAACTGCCTTGATTTATTTAACAATTTCCTATGTGCATATAAATATTACTGTATATTATTTATTTATTTAAACACATAAATATTGGTACAAAGGGGCACCAGATATATATGCGCCACACATATCTCATTTGATTTGTGTGAGGGCTGCGATACTGTCCAGGTCCCCAAACTGAAGCAGGTGGTTTTCTTAGGTGACCATAACCCGAGCCTTTGACCTAAAGGTCTAACCCACAAGGCAGTGGAGCATCATGAGGAGATGCAGTCCCATGGTAACCGGTGACCAACAATTGATTCATATGCTATTTGTTCCCTCAGGATACTGGAGCCCGTATACACCATTGGTTTGAAATCAGGGTTTTCCAACTCCTCTAGGTGGAATTTCCGTGTCCACCAACCCGGTTAAAGCTCCTGCCGGACATTCGCTTTTCGTCCTCTCAATTTCGTAAACAACATTAATGCCATGAGAAGGCAGTGAGTAGGACTTCCCTGGCAGAGGCTATATAAGCGTGACCATATGAGAGCATTTGGAGAGGGAGAGCGGACTCTCCCTACTCTCGGCCGTACTAGGACATTTGGGGGCTACTGTATATTAGAGTAAAGCCTGATGAGGATCTAGTCGAAAACAATATTGTTCGCTTATATATATATATATATATATATATATATATATATATATATATATATATATATATATATATATATATATATATATATATATATATATATATATTGTTCTAAATCTAGAAAGGCATGAGCTCTTTAGAAGCTGAAGACAAAACTTGAACAACGAAAATAACTAACCAGACAAACATTAACGGGAAACAACACCTCATACAATTATCTATAGGGTTAAATCATCACAATAATATTAAGATGAAACCAAAAAACCAAAACAGAACTAATCAAATATATTTCATTATATCAGTTAGTTATAGATATATAGATATATATATATATACAAAATATCACACTTATTCATAGTGTACTATTTAAACAATGTTATTGTGTTCAATAGATTATATATTTCATACAACAAATGTTTGTTCTACATAAAATTCATTGCTTTTGCTTTTAGTAATAAAATAAGAGGTTATCGGTGCAAAATTAGATAGATCCCAATGAAAAGAATATGCATAACGACGGAATACTAAAATAATAAAAATTAAAACAACTAAGTAAAATAAAAGTGTTTTGATTAAATTAAACATTCCCGAGTTACTAGGAATTATTATATGATATGAAAAATGAGATAGATTCATCCATGTGTGTAAGTCTGGTGGAGGCCATAACCATAAACCTCGTCTATTTGCATCACGTATAATATGACTTACAAAAGGAATAAATATGAAACACCAAAATATAGCTAAAAATCTATTTAGTTTTAAACAAATAGGATAAGATATGAAAAATAAACCAACGATTAAAAGAGTATAAATAAGTAGATATAGACCTGCCCAGTGTAAAAATGGTCTACCAGGAAGTTGACGAGCAAGCTGAAAAGAAGGATATATTGAAAGTATCAAGAGAGAAATTGTTATGATTTTAGTTTGATTACAGAAATACAAGTATAGGGATTGATATAATCAGTTATTTTATGTCTATTACTCAGTGATTCTACTCTTTTTGATGTGTCGTGCAAGAAAGGAGCGATAGAATATGTCTATGACGATAAGTGTCAAACAAATGAAATTCAAATTTGATAATTAAATACACATTTAACTATTGATCTTTGAGCCATAAATCTAGTGGTAGAGAGAGGAGGCCAGTGGTAGTATCTGGATACTTCAATCGAAGTATGTCTAGCATAGTTCTAACATGAGACTGGTGATTGAATCACTGTACAAGTGAAAAAAAGAATGACCGCGTTGTCGTTTAAGGATTCTATGAGTAGGCAGAAAGATGACACTTGATGATATGATGTAACTTAGGACTTAATGGCTGAAGGTCGAATGCCGTAATTACTAAGTCAACTCTCTATTGAACAAGTAAGTGGTTTTCTGGGCTTAGTAGCTAAGTGGGTAATCAGTTGACGTTTGAGATGAACGGTACAGGTTCTGAGTCCTAGTGCGAAAATCAACATTACGATGGTGGTTTACCCAGATGATGAGTCTCACATAAAACGAAACGTACGTCTTAGATTCTGCTGCTAGCCACAACCCATGTATTCTAATAAAACATTGTACTTATATTTCTATTCATAATAGCATGACCTTTACTTGTGTACACCGATGCCTTAATCCTGTTAACTACGCAAATCGATGCATTTTAAAGTATGGTAGGCACTTAAGTATCCCATACATAACCGTTAGCAAGGCTCGATAACAAAAAACAAAATGTAATACACAGCCACACGAAACCAAGTATCATTTAAACGTGACAATACGACACGTACTTCAATGCTTGTACTTCTTGAAGCTATAAAATGATCAATATCCGGTAGTATTGCACCGAATGCTGCCCCAAAACATGACTCAAGAGTCATAATTATATTTCTTCGGTAACCTGTGGTATATAAATCCAGTTTACCATTTATACTAATCAAACAGCATAGCCAAAACATTGAGCCAGTTAATCCATGGGTAAGGGTTTCCAAAAACAAATGTATATGAGAACCTGAGTTGACTGATTTGCATAATCTAAATTGTAATCAGATCGATGCATAATTACTACGGAGATGAACATACATTTCAAGTAACCATAATGAGAGGGAACCGGTCAGGATTAGGAATACTTCATAGTTTATTTCAATAATCTAAAAAGAATCTATATGAGGATGTAAAATTGTTATCTTGGTTTACAAAAAAGAAGTGTTACAAAACTAGATGATTTATTGTTTATGATTATATACAAAGTTCTTGGTAATAGTCTGTTTATCCAGAGTTCCGTGAAGCATCCTCATCACCATCATTTTCATCTTGAAATCTGACTAACTCTTGTTCAGCATCATCAAAAGCTCGATTCGAAGGATCGACTTCTTCATCATACTGTAAACATTGATCGATTTGAACTAGTAAGTCTGTTATAGTATCTTCTTTATCCCTGTTTAATGGGACAAAATGAACTACACTGTAACGCTCAATTAAATCAGCTAGTGCATGAGTAAGTTTGTTAAATGGTGCCTCCTGTTCATGATGTTCCTCACCATCTTCCTCATCGAATACTTGATCCAGATCAAAAAAGTAATCCATATCAGGATTTAGATAACGAGCCATGACATATTTTTGTTTTTGTTCAGATAACAAATCAAGTTTCGACATTACGTTTATATGAGCAGTTGATAAGGATACCATAGCAGAGAGAGCAGACAATACACCAGCTAGAAAATGTGATGAATCTACAAGGAATCTAGCATCCAAAATAAATATTGTAACGAAACGAAAATCCCATTTTCTTTGCATATATTCAATTATTCGTGGCATAATCGGTAAGTGTGAGTATAACTCGATTTGACCAGGACAATCAAATAATAAATAGTCTCCATCTATATCACCAAGTGCTGTATCTAACCAATTCAAATTTTGTTGAAGATATTCTAAGCAGAAAATGAGTCCGCCATTTGGACCTAAACGTATAGCCTCATCTTCCATTACATCATCTAACTAAAAGCATCCTAGAAAAATTCTGATTAAGTAACTTACATGAATAAGGTCCCTTATATCCGCTAGTGGAGTATATTCGAAAAACTCCGCTGCAGGGTCCAAATTGACCACATCAACTTTCCTCCTCAACGTTTCACAATGGGCTTGCATTGTGCTACAATAAGTTGATTTCCCACAACCAGCTGGCCCTATCACCAGCTGGGCAAATCTAGGCATTATCTTGAAAAGAATGCCACGAGAAACCAATTAATATGCTCTAGCAAAAAACAAGAATCGTTTTCAAATAGGGCAAAAAGTGGTATTTAAGTAAGCTAACTTGAAAAATAAAATTTTAAAGAATAGACACAAAAACAGAGTAATTAGCTTTTTATTTACGATTTGTTGTCTGATTTTGACATTGATACGAAATCTCCCTATGCACAAGTTCAACTGGCTGCTCAAGTGAGAAGCGATTTCATAGACTAAGCGTATGCACACTATATATATATATAAGATTAAGCCACCAACGGCATACCTCTCACTCCTTAGAAATGCAAGCTATTTCTTGACCAATCGCTCGAATTTGTCATTTGATCGATCTTTAATTAGCCCAATGTACCAAGTTGTTTTCAATTTTATGGAGACGTGTGTTATATAGCAATTTTACAGCATTGTTGGCGCTGATTACACTCCTTCATTGTTTAGATATTAGTTTTTCACTTTCTGTGTTGATGTGAAGTGTAAAACTAGATGTAGTACAAGTTTTAACTACATTAGATGTAACAAGATTGCTAAATTTACTATGCAGTTTTACACAACACATTTTGCAAAACGGTTCGTGTAAGCTAAAATCATGACTGATGCATTACATTGATTGACGATTTGTTATTTGTTTACCTCGGGGTTTCCTAGCAAACTGTTAATGTGGATATTAGAGTGGAGTAGCAGGTTAGTGATTAAAGTCCTTTAGTTTGATTGATGGAATGCAGGTTTCAATTCCGACATTCCAGGTTCATTTTGATAGCTGCGCAGTATCACCATCCCTAACTATGTGGCTCAGTCAATGCACATAAACTTGAACTTAATAAGTTACATTACCATAATTCATAATGAGTGTAATGATACAAAAACATGGTGGCTTCGGAGTGACATAGCATTATGTAGAACATTTTTGCTCTAAAAATCAAGTGATTTCTCAAAAAAACATTAAAAACACTTAATGATTACTACTGATTACCACTAAGTTATGTCTTTTCACGTGTTAAACCTACTGATTGTAAACCCGTGTTTTATTAACTATTCTGGAGAAAATACGCCTGAGAATTTGTGGGATATATTGAAGCCAATAGAAATAAGTTGGTGCATCAAATTTTCATTTTATGTACAAAACCACTGTACACTGCTTTTCATGTATAATCATAACTACAAGTTGATAAGGAATTTGACTAGCCGCAGGTAACAACAAATCATTTGCTTTTTTGAATCCTAAGCAAGAGTTGATATGACGCAGTAATGTTATTTTAATTGGGTTGCAAAATAAACGCTCGATTCCACGGCTGCTTATGAAACGCCAGATATGGACTTTTTTAGTTTGATCAGACCCCATTTATTTTGGTGCTGAATTTTCGGTCATATAGAAACTTTTCTAGCCAGGTGAGAAGTTGATTTGCGAACTATTTGTCCTATCTTAATCAGTGGGACGGAGTGCGACAATATATTGAATAGTTTAGCAAAGTCTGTAGGGCATACACGGGCACTTATGGATTAAAGAAGACTTCAGATATCGCACACTGAGGAGGTGTTTATATTCAACGACCGGCCTGTATTTCATACTATAGCTAATAGACGCTCATAGATGCTGTACGTTAGAAGACTTCTGAGCATTTTCTTAACGCTATGGGGCGTTTGTCTTAGCAACCCAGTAACTGATCGGATCAAAGTCTTGGAAAATATCTCAATTGGAGCTTTTGTGTCGTGTTTACAGTGCTTTTCACTATTGTCGTTTTAAGAGCACTAGTTTGAATCCATCGGTTTAATAGATGATTTGACTGTTTGTCAAAGTGCGCGTTGAAAACACCGACTTTTTCGGCGTCTGTGAGTTTTCCCATTAGTTTCCGTAGTTAAGAAAGTCTACTGATTCCATGGGTTTGCATTCTATTTCTTAACAAAACAATTGTTATTTCAATACCACTAATGGTATATTCTGTGTGTTTTATAAAGCTGCAAAAGACTCGAACTTTGTGATTTTAAATCTGCTTGAAATATATTATTCTGTCCAGCTTATCTCACAGTCAACGAAGTACAAAACATTCGTATATTCATATATGACAGTGCTCCAATCAACGTTTATCAGCTCCCACAACTGATTTTGTTTTTCCACTACGAAGCTTGATAAAACGAGGACAGGGTGAGCTTGACTCAGTAATAACATGGCAGGCAGGAGGAAGTGGCACCGTTTACATGGAACATAACAGGAAACATCTAACCTTGCCTAGATGTAGCGTACGTCTTGAAAACCCCGCACGTTTACAATCCAAATTCCAATTCCGGGCTCAAGTTTGTGTTTCGAGGACAACAAAAGCCAATAGCTTGTGTCAGTCCTTTCCTAGTAAGTTTCTGAGAGTGTTCTTTTTTCTCTTTAATCATCTAATTGAAGGAGCGGATAACATTTCATCGAGTAACAAGTTCTAAGAGTTTGTGACTTCGTATGAAAACCTGTACATCACAGGCATTTTGTGCGTTCTATGCTTTTGTGCTAGACCGTTATGTGCTCTGAAAATTCTTGATTTGTCAGGGGGAAAAAGCAACTATACATCAGGTCCAAAATCACTTCCTGAGATTCCAAACATGAAAATCTGGCCACCACTATAGCTGTGGTATTACCGAATAAAAGGTCCATACTCTCCAGCAACTCGTTGTACGGTAAATCTCATTTGTGCCATTTGTTTTTCAGATCAGCTAATCAAAACGTTGAAGTCCGCCTGAAGTGCACATGTATCGGCGTCTCTCGTTATTTCTTGTCACATTTTGACATGATCAGCGTGTATTAACACCGAGGACTCTACTATACTTGGGGGTTCGTTCACATACAGAATACAATGTAAAGGACTTATGAGAGAACCCTGTGGTACTCCAACAATTACTGATTTCCAGAGAGAGCATTTGAAATTTATTCTGACTTTCTGTCTACGACCTACCGAGAGATCCTTGATCCACCTCCGGATAGGTCCTACAATTCCTAGACTTTCTAGCCTCAAAAGAAATATATTATTCGGCGCCTTATCAAATGCTTTACTGAGATCTATTTAGACAATATCCACTGATTTTCCATTATCTAGAGCCTCCATCCATTTCTCTCCCGCCATAAGGAGATTTGCTGTGCGAGAAAAATCTTTTCGGAAACCGCGTTCTTCGTTGTTTCACAAGATGTCAGTTTCCACGAATATCAATATTGTCTTTTTTGATTATTATTTTAACTGAGATACTGGTGAGGCTGACAGGTCTGCAGTTTGATGGAAGTTTTCGTGATGCTGTTTTTCGCAATGGAGAGACGATCGCATCCTTTCAGTCTGTAGGTAACTCACTTCGGTTAAGTTACTTGTTGTATATCGCAGTCACTAGAGTAGCAATACGTTGTGCAGATTATCTCAGGGTTTTAGGGCGTAGTTAGTCCGGTACAGTTAATTGTTGTTCGCTTTTCTCGGTCATCTTCTGATACGATCAACCAGACTGAGATTCTCGCGAATATAAATTTCGGACCCAAGACGCTATGAGAGTATTTCCCCGCATTAGGTTTCTTTCGTTAGAGGGAGCACAGTATTATTAAAGTGTCGTCTTTCCTGTGTACTTCCGGAATCCACTTCTACTGTCTTACAAAGCTCACCATTACTAACCGATACCACAATTTCCGAAGAGTAGCTTGTTAATTAAGGACTTCATATGACTTAGAAAGTGTTCGATCGTAGCCTTTGTTGTGATGAATTGTAATGAAGAAGCAAGCCTTAGTTAACGGCACGACATTGAAAAGCAAAGTGGGATATTGGCTGATTTCGAAAAATTATTTAGATTGCCATGAAACGTCATCACGGCAACCCTTATTTATTTTTCTTTTTTGTTGAATTTGTAGCTTTATCGAACGCAAACCATTCGGCCTGTGCTTAAGCTTTTGAAAGTGGACGTATTGGGGCAACTTGATGAAGTTTGAGAAACCAACATAAGATAGAAAAAACGAGTCTATGAAGCAACGAAATGGGAGAACGACTGAGATATCAGTAAATAGTTGCCACGTTACCAGTCGCAAAGAGTTGCACAAAACCAATACGTAAGCCCCACAAATATAGGTGAATTGAAATAATTGCCCTCGCCATCACTGTTTGCTAGTCAATAATTCCATCCTCCCTTCCTTCTGTTATTAGACTCTTTTAAGGTAGTGGTTAGATCGCAACTGCTTGACCTCAGAGCTCTATGTTACATATCGTGTTAGAAGGCACAAATTCCACAAGTACCTAGGATAGTTGTGTCAGATAATCAAAGCTGATAGATCTTTGATAGAAAATCAAAGCGGTATTCATAGCAACATACAATAAAGTTTAAGTTTTGAAACAAAATAAGTTAGCAGAAACAAGCTATTAGGTAAAAGAGTTATTGAAATTTATTACTTTTAAGACAATGAGCTGTTGTTTGAAGTCAAATGGTAGGACTGTGACATACATGGGAAAGGTTGAAAACCGATATTTAGTGTATAAGAAAGGACTAGCTTTGATTTGGCGGATGTTGATTATTATGGACAGTTTTTGACTATTTTTGATTTTCAAACCGACTGGTTCCTAGTTGCAGTAAATGTTATTGATTTTCAGTGAAAGATGGTTCTTGGGCCTAATTTATGCAACGCCCCCAGCATTTGACAACTTCTGCTTCCTCAAGACTTGACGGTTGGTCATCTGCTGCTGGTTGTTTATGTGAGGGTATCGTTATAGTCTCATTCTGCAGTCCGACTGTTTAAAGAATTGTCAGAGACTTTATGGAGCTTCATGCCTCGCACAGTCAACATGATAGCGGCTTGAAACACCTCATATATGCAACAGCTGTGAGTTCAGTGCACGCGATGACACCACTTGTTGCAATCATCCATAAGTATCACGTCGTCGACCATAAATAAGCGTGTTGGTCTATCACTTGGTTTTTGTGTTTGCGTAATTAAAATTGTCAAGTGATCTTACAGGGAGAATGATATAAAA